TCTGGAGGTGAGGGCAGTGGGATGGGGGAGGGGGGTGAGTGACGGGTGGGTGGGGTGGGTGAGGGCTGTTAGCAAGGTGTGGGGTGAGTTTTGACTTTGTTTTCCTGGATTTAAGGGAACACTTGACTGATGTGTGTGTGTGTGTGTGTCCTAATTACGGATCAGAGGTGCAGGAGGTGATGCTGTCGTCTGTGGATGTTTCAAACGTCTCAGGTTCTTACACCACAAATCAAAGACGTTAAAGTTCAAAATACAACTCAAATTAAACTAAAACATTACAAATTCTCAGTGCTGCCACTGAAAACCGTACTCACACACATTTTGTGTGTGTATACACACACTTCAACTGGCCGGCCTGCAGTCCAGATGTACAAATTATCAACCAAAAATGTATGAAGGAACAAAGCTGATCTCTGAACTGTACAGTGTTGATCTGAAATGAACCTGCGTAGACGTGGACTGAACAGATGAAGCCAAGTCTGACTAGAGGGCGTTGAACCATCCACAGACAAACACCAACCCTCCCAACCCCTGACCTCTGACCCCACTGTTTGTGAAATGACAGTGAACTGTTGTGAGAAGCCAATGGTTGTGTCTCCTTCTCCTTAAAGCCAACACAACACCGCTAAGCAGAGCCATGGGAGGTGTGGGTAGAGAGGAGGGGGAGGGGCAGCCAGAGCCATGGCCCCGCCCCCGCCTCCGTCACTCCCAAGCAGCAACCAACCAGAAACAAAGAAGGCGGCGAGCGACAACACCAACAGTACTATGATTGGCTCTGATGGGTCTCAATCTGCGGTTGGGGGAGGGGAGAAAAAAAAAGGCGGTGGCGTGATTATCGATTGCTTTTCCTGTCGGCTAGTGCTGATCGAGGAGGTGGGACGTGATTCGTGGGAGGAGAAACAAAATAAAAATTACATAAAACCAGGAGGAGGTGTTCAAACAAACCAACATGAAAAAAACACTAACAAATAGAATTTGCTTTCGGAGGAAACGGAAACAAAGATAAAAAAAAACAAACAGGAAGTGATGAACGACGGATGATTGGTGACAAAACGGATTCAAAAAATTTGAACAAACATTTATAAGAGGAAAAAAGGAAGGTGTTGGAAATGAAGGACAGGATATTCCTCCAGGATCAGAGGAAACCTAAACAACAACATGACGAGGGACATGAGGAGATGAGTGAGAGGGAGTTGTGGCAGCTGTAGAGGGCGCTGTGGGGACTAAGAAGCCCGACTCCTCCCTCCTCTCTCTCTCCCATTTTGCGGGTCTACCTTTAAAGCCTCCTGGCGGGGGCACAAAGCTGGGTTTGGCAGGGAGGGGGGGGCCTGTACTGTTGGAGTTGTTGTTGCTGAGCGGCGGCTGGAATGAGCTGGACAGGAAGATGCCGTCTGAAACGGGGCGGGGCTTGCGCGCAGTAGGTGGCGGCTGCGGCCTGCTGTGGTTGGCTGAGACGGTGGCCGGGAGGTCGCCGTACGACTTCCGGGTCGCCGTCAGCTTAGCCCCACCGCCGCCAACGATCCCTGCTCTGGTTGTTTCCTTGCCTTCCTCCTCGTCTTCCTCGTCGCCTGCGTAGGAGACGAACTTGGCGGTGTAGAGCGTGTCGGGGGAGACCACCTGGGTTTTGAGGTAGGAGGTGTTTCTCTGTGGTGGGGGTGGGGGTGTGTTGTTGTTAGTAGGAGTTGGTGGGTTTGGGGAAGTGGGGGGGTGGTAGTCCCGGGGCAGCGGCGGCCGGTACAGACCGGCGGCCGGTTCGTCGGGCGTCAGCAGCTTCCTCTCCGCCTCCTCGTGCTGCCGGCGCCGCTCGGCCTCCAGGCGAGTGTAGTACTCTTCCTCCTGTCTCCTCTGGGGGGAGGGACAACCTGTTAGTCACCTGTTAGCTGCAGCCTCACCGGCTCTTACTTCAACAACAGACAAATTAGCTCGTCGCTACAACACAAACTGTCATCTACTGCCAGCACCACTACGGGGCGCTACTCTACTCTACTCTACTCTACTCTACTCTACTCTACTCTACTCTACTCTACTCTACTCTACTCTACTCTACTCTACTCTACTCTACTCTACTCTACTCTACTCTACGGGAATCACAAAACAACCAAAGGGTCCAAACTACACTGACACAAACCAGATCAAACTGGTCCAGTGGACAAGACAAAGGACTGGTTTCCAGCCTTAACTCAACTAACCCAACCTTAACTACCTGCCTTCACTGACTCTACGTTCAACTCTGATGTCATCACATCACGCACTGTATAAAAGACAGGGACAGAGAAGTCTGGTAAAGTAACAAACAACATCCAAAAACACATGGTGACATTAGCTTTAAACCAGTTACTTTTAAAAAAAGTGAGTGATTGACAGCTCTGTCCGTCCAATGACCTGGGGTCTCTCTAATCTCCGACTCTGAGCTGCAGCTGAACGGCTACGTCCGTTTGTTACGTACAGTTTCTGGATCTAACTGCTTCACATCACTTACTGTGGACCACCCTGTTCTTCTACCCACCCACTTCTCTGTATGTACTCAGTTTACATTAAAGGCATTGTGGGTATTTTCTGCTTCCTTCCTTCTCCAGTTTCATCTACACTTCAGGGAAAGGGAGGGACGTTGACGTTTGAGGAATGTGTTTGGACTTCTGGGTCTGGATGAGGACCAGCCGCTGTGAGGGGGAGAGCAAAGGGGGCGGAGCCACATGAGGCTCAGGTCTTCTGATGTCAGATAGGGTGGCGTGGGTTCTGCCAAAGTGCGGTCACGCGCACGTGCGTTTCCTCGCCACGCGGCCCCCCGGTTAATCTGCCTTTGATGGCGGATATCTAAAGACACTGGGAAGGATTAGAGGGTGTGTGTGTGTGTGTGTGTGTTTCTGGTCAGGATGGATGACGGTTGATGGAGGAGGTGGGTGGAGTTTACAGTTCTGAATGTATGTGTTCTTTGGAGAGGGGTTCAATGTGGTGTGTGGGATGGGGGTGGGGCGGGGGCAGCATTCACAGTCCCTGAGGTGGATGCTGGATGGAGATGGTCACCAAAAATAATGAGGTCCAAACAAAAAGAACCAAAAAACCTCAGACAGAGTCAACACTTCTGTCAAACTCAAAAACAACTTCCTGACAAACAACGACCAACGACGAGGACAAGATGGTGGGAGACCCATGCTTCAGGAGGGGGAGGGGCTGCACAAAACCATAACACATCACAACATGGAGGAGGGGAGGGGGCGGGGGGGGGTCGAAGGCATGCTACTGGACTTGACAATCAAATACACAACATCAGGATGAACATCATAACAACTACAACACTTAAATACATCACATCACTACAACATACACAACATACAATATACTTATAATTAAATTCATAAATACATCTCTATATCTATATATCTAAATATATTTGTGATTTTTTCCAACATTCTAGTGATCCAGCAGTAGACCAGGTTTGATGTGAACTTTTAACCAACCCCTGGTCTGATCAATTCTCCAGGACAAACACATTCAAACCATGGAGGTCACGTGATCATGAGGTGTTTGACTGACGACATCAGACAAATGAATGACAACGACCACGAATCACATCAGACCACGGGTCCATTAAAAACCTTCACATCATTAATTTTGTTTCTCATCTGCTCTTTCAATTTGGAAAATACATTGTTTTACCTAAGGATGACTTTGTTTTTTTCTGGCTTCATCTCATCTATATTTATTCAATATTCAGAAAATCTATTTCTCTCACCAATGTTTGCCTTTTTCTACATTATTAGCTTCACTAACGTATTTTTGCTTCTACTTAAACATCTTTGCCAAACTTCCACTTTTCATTTCATATTTATACCTGAATCCTAGCTATTCTTTGCTCTCATCTACTTTTTATTTGCTTTCCTCACTTCAATTCTCACTTTTCCACCTAGTACTTTTCCCAACATTAATTATATTAAATTTTAATTACAATACCAAATAAATATATTCATAGAACATTAAGATTTTCTTTTAACTGCTATTACTGTTTATATTTAATTCATATTTAACCCTACGTTGCCTATTAACTCTTCATTATACTGCCATCTGCTGTTACATGCAGCTAAATGCAACTCCTGGAATCACTGTGATGAATAAACCTTAGCTAAACATCGTGGCGTTCAGAGTCACATGATCAGTCCGGTCCATTCAGGACGGACACACAGACCTTCTCCTCCGTCTCTCGTCTGGCTCTCTCCTCCTCCCTCCATCTGCGCTGCTCCTCCTCCTGCTTCACTCGCTCCTCCGCCTCCCGCTTACGGATCTCCTCCAGCTGCTGCTTACGCCGTCGCTCCTCGTCCTGCAACTGTTCGCATGCAGAGACACAAGGAGTTCAACAACCACAGCACTTGATGCTAACACACAAACACAGTCAACGATCAACAGCTTCAGCTCAGACTAATTCACCAACACGACGACGTCGTTTAACCTGAAGGGACTGCTCCAGGGGGCAGGTGACAGGGTGAGCAGTGTGCACTGCAAACACACCCACAAACACACCCAGATGCTCATGCAACAAACAAACAAACAAACATGCAGCAGCAGCAAATACACTGTAGCAGTGCATCTGGAGAATTAGCAGCGTTGAGCTCAGCGTCTACAGATGTTCTCGATCCTCACGCATCACGGCCGACTTTTACACTTCAGTCAAAGTGTGACCGACTGAACACGGGAGGGTGAGTAAATCAAGCCCACCTCGATCAGCTGAAGCAGGAACAACACACCTGCTCAAATGCAAAAGGTCATGGGTCACAACAACAAACACGTGACCCTGATGTCTGGACAGGCTCACTTCAGACAGATGATGTTCACGTGGACAAAAGAAGCATTAAATTCTCTGCTCCTACAAATATATGCTGTAATATTAAACAACTTTTTCGCACTTACATTTATTGCACTTTCAAAAATTGTTTTATTAAGTTTATTCTTTATTAATCATTTTCCTATTTTGTGCTATTGCACAACTACTACTATTATTATTATTTTTATGCAACACCAAACATGCTCAAAATATCATTACAAATGCAATACAACATTAACACCTGTGAACTCAGTCAGATAAACTGTGTGAAAACAGATATGCTGTTTTGTTTTGTTTTGTTTTTTTGGTCCTCCATTTCACCTAACTGTGCACAGGTGAAGTGTCTCCATACAAAACAGTTAATGTTGCAGTGCACCTGTGATGATACTTTGAGCATGTTTAGAGCTGAAAAGCAGACTTTGGTTTTTCACTGCAGGGCTCTTTGCTCCCTTCATGACACCCGTCCTCTACTACACTCTTACGGCAGCTCAAGGTAGAGTTAGTGACCAGACCAGAAGAGGAGTTGAAATTCAGAGTCTGACGTTGGTCACACACAGATGGACTGAGTGATGGACAAGCGAACAATCAACTGGACACGACATCACGACACATTCACATGTAGACATCATGCAGAACATCATGCAACATATCTCCGTAATGCATCCAGCCATGCAGGACCCGCCTCAGTGTTCACTCACTGCACCACTGAATTGCTCGTGTCACTACTGCCAATCTGGACACACGGACACAGGTTTGGTTTCTTTTCTGGATCTTTTTTTTTTTTTAGCAGAAGGTGTTTTGAGTGAACAAAGAGACGGACAGCTTCCCCCAGCCAATCAACAAACGACAAGCATCCCATGATCGGCTGCTCTGGTGCTAAACCACGGCCCAGTCCAGACCGCAAAACACACTCCACCAACCAGAACCCCACAAACACCCCCCCCACCATTTCATAAACGACGACAAAATTCCAGATGGGAGGAAAAAAAGAACGGAAACACGGGCAGGTGCAACAGCCCAGACAGAAAACAGGAAGTGATGTAAGAGCAGGGGGGAGGAGAGGGGACGGGGGAGGGATACTGGTTATTAACAGGAAGAACATACCAAGTCTAGAACAGAGATAGCTGGGACAGCAGTCTGCTGCTGAAGAGGGAAAAGAAAAGAAGAAAGAGTGAGAGAAGGAGGGAGGAGAGGGGAGAAAAACAGTGAAATAAAGGGGGAGTGGAGGGAGGAACGGAGGAGTCCAAACAGAAAGAAGGAAAGGGAGAGGGAGGACAAACAGTCAAGTGAAAACATTATCTTTTTTTTCTCCACTGTGCTGATTAGAGTGGCACCTTCATCCAACATGTTCAATTCCCCACACTGCACCACAGAGCTGCACCTGACCCTGACCCTGACTCCCTGGGGTTTACAGAAAAATAAATTACTCAGTGCTGCACCTCCCCAGGTCAGACGAACGTCTATAATGGTCGTCTATAACCATTTGATCCAGCAGGGGGTGCTCTCAGTGAAGCCTAACCTCTCAGCCAATTACTAAAAGAAGACAGTGATGCTACGTTATTTTGCTGTTACAAAGCAAGCAGATACAGTCAGTAGGACTGAACAAATACAAACACCAACAACACTATAAAATGACAATGGTTCAAAAGAAAACAGCGACACCACGCTGATTTGCTGTTAGCAGCCAATGACGGTTCAACGGTACTTCTACAACTTTTTCCTGTTGCTTGAAAACTCTTGACATGATAACGAATCTTTACCTGCCGTCTAAGACTTGTGTTCCCTTCTACATGATCTCCACTAGGTGTCATTGTAAGAACAACAAAACACAGAATATAAACGCATCATCAAGACAAGTCAGGATGCTGAGAAGCTTGTGAAAACAGGACCAGAGACGCTCTTGTGACACGGCACAACATTTATGCTGCATTTCCATTACACGGTTCAAACGTTTCTTTTCTTAAAAATTCTTTTTACTTTTTAACTAATTAAATTGACTCACAACAGTTTCACGTCCAGATTCAGGTGGGAAATAAATTCACTGGTGTCCAGCACTGGACTCATATAATGTGAATGCAGCATTGACAGCATCCTCGCTTGCCAGCCCCTCCCCCTTCAATCTTTCCAGCCAATCAGATTTAAGCAGCTCAGCATGGCAAAGCAATGAAAAAAGCATGTTGCAGATGCACATTGCAGGACATTCACTTTCTGTCTGTGACCGCACTCCCATCCCTTAACCCCCACCTCACCCCCCCACTCCAATTTCCTGTGGCTCACTCTCTCTTCTGAACTACAGACACTTTTCTACACTGTTGAGTGTTCTCCTTCCCTGAGCACGGTCCCTCCCCTCCTTACCCTGGCTCTCTTCTCGGCCTCCAGCCTCTGCATGATCAACACCGTGTCCATGTCCTCGTCGTCCTCCTCCTCATCGTCCTCGTCGCTCTGCTTGGACTCCTGCAGCCGCTTCTGGAACTGCCACTCCAGCATGAGCTTCCTGAGCCGGTCGCTCTCCTCTGCTGTTCGTTCTGGTTTCGACTACAAAAATGAAATTGCACATTTTAATCTAATACTTCATCTTGATCTAAAGCTCTGTGTACAACATCATAACTTCAAAAACTCCTCCGACCTGAAGCTCCTGGATCTCCTTGTCCAGGAGGTCAACGATGTGGAGCTGCTGCTGCTTCTCGGCCTTTTCACGGGCGTCCCTTTTCCAGGGGTCTGGCGACAGACTGTCGCTGGACGCCAGCTCCTCCTTGCTGATGGTGATGTACTGCAAGTCACGTCGCTCGATGGTGCGCGGCTGCTGCTGCGGGAGCAGCTCCCTGATCACCGTGTCCATTCCTGAAGGAAACACCGGAAAATCTGGTGACTCCATAAAAAGACAGATGTTTGACTTTGTGTCACAGGCTGTAAAAGAGTTCCTGTTACCGGCAGGGGTGGAGGCACTGGCGGGTGGAGGGACAGCCGACCGCGGCAGACTGGACAGCTTCTCTGGTCTGGATGAAGGAGGTTGCGGCTGAGGCTGAGGAGGAGGGTAAGACTGAGGAGGTGCTGCAGACGTAGGAGGAGGCTGGTGGTGAGGAGGCGGCATCGAACCACCATTGTGAGGCTGCACCGGCATGATGGGGTTGGCCCGGATCTGACCCAACTTCCTCTCCTGCTCCCTCCTCTTCCTCTCTCTGAAACACAAGAGGATGAAGGTCAATTTAACTTTGATGAAGTAACTGACGTGGACTTGAAAAGTCTAACTCTAGGTACATTAAACAAAATAAACAAGAACGGTAAAGACAGTGACCTCAGCCAAACAGTCTTATTTTTTTCCTCATTATCTTTTTTACCATTTATTTTTTGCTTTTTGAGGAATAATTACCCAACTAATTAGTAACAAAATAAAGTCTCCAGAGTCCATTGTTTTTCAAATGTAAATGCAAATTAAAAACTCTGAGTCATTACCTTTCCTCATCCAGTCGAGCCTTTTCTTTCTCGTACCAGCGCTGCTGCTCCTCTCGCTTTTTGCGGTCGGCGGCCTGCTGGGCCGCTGCGGGTGTGACGGCAGCAGAGGGAGGTGGCGGCAGCGGCAGCTCAGGCTGAGGGTCGTACGGGTCGTAGGCCACTGGGTAAGCGGCCGGCGGTGGAGGAGGTGGCGGGGGCAGGTCGGAGCGGGACGGCTGCTGGACCGAGTGTGGCGGTACGACGTGTGGGGTGTTGGGCGTCTTCCATCGCCCTGGACCGGTCTTCTGGTTCGCGCCCTTGTTGGAGGAGGACGAGGAGGCGGAGAAGTTGAGGTGTTCCTGGCTGGACGTGGACGACTCCAGTGAAGAAGGAATCTGAGACTGGGGGGCCCAGTGGTCAGAACCTCCTGCACCAACAGACCATTAACATAAACAAACACAGCAGGAGAACCTCAGTGTCAGCACCAAGTCAAACCACACGAGTTCACATGTTGGTCAACTCTCACCTCCTGGTGGACCTCTCTGGTAGTCCATATCTCTGTGTTGGTAGTCCATGTCCCGATGCTGGAAGTCCTGCTGGTAGAGAGGCTGCATGCGCTCATCCAGTCTCATGCCCCCTGGTGGAGGATACAGGTCCTCCTGGGAGTGATTTACTCGCTTAAGAGAAGAAACAGAGACAGCGATGATGATGATGATGATGAAATGACTACTGACCAACAAAGTCACTTCACCGGCGAATCCAGAATGTCATACCTGCATGCTGTTGTGAATATTCTCAACCACAGGGAGCTGCTCTCGTTCATCCACACCCTGCCATTGCTGTGGTGGCGGCTGACCTGGACCTACCACACGGTCCTGGCTCTTGGAGGCCGGGACAGTGAAGTAGTCTCTGGAGTAGGTCTGCGTGGGGATGGGATAGGCCTCTGGACGAGGAGGTGAGGGTTCGTCCTGGAAAAGGTCAGACATAATGAAGACGTGATGAAGAGTCTGGAGCTGAGAAACTGACGCTTCAGTGTTAGTGACACTGAGTCACTCCACTGGAACATTCCTCATCTGGACGACAGAGACTACTTACGTCTGCACACAGGTTTCCTGTGGAGACGGAGGTGATCTTAGTGCCAGGTCCTCCAGGATAAACTGCCTTCCCTGCAGGACTCTGACCCTGATCTGAGGACAGACAGGGAGGACAAGGAGTTCTGAGGAGTGTAGACTGGAGACTCAATGACTCCAGTGTGAATGAGGAGCTCTGATTTTTACTGATGATAATTATATTAGTATTTTCTGTAACAGCTGGTCTTACTGGCTACGTTGGGGCTGGAGCGGTGATCGGCTCGGTTCTTCAGGAGCCGGTCCTCACTGCTCATCTTCTTTGGTTCGGGGTAGCAGTCCCAGCTGGGCTGTGGACTCTCAGGGGAACCATTCTGCACCGTGTTGTTGTACAACTCGAAGCCTTCACTTTTCGGTCGCATTTTGCCGTTCTTCTCACGGCCTCGGTCTGATGCTGTCAGACAAAAAAAAAAAAGAAGTGAGTCCTTGACCTCTGAACTACGGGCAAACTACTCTTTCTTCGTCAGCCTCTGCTGTGTCCTTGACCTCTGAACTACGGGCAAACAACTTCAGTGACTCTGTCTCTTTCTTCGTCAGCCTCTGCTGCTCTGGGTGAATCTACACGTGAACCTAGTGAACATTAAGTTGGTGAAAAATGACCAGCATCCCTCAGGGTCTTGTGGTTTGAACTCCACTCTGTCTGGGAAAAACACTGTGGTCCGGGGCAAATTGAGGGAACCACCCTCAAACCTTACAGCGTCATCCTGCACCGCAGAGAGGAAGACTTTCCTTTGTGGACCTGAGGTCACATTCCAGCAGACAAAGAGCAGACGAGCAGTAAAGACATGCAGTGTGTGCTGCTGTTCAGACACTGACACACCCCAACACACACACCCACACACTCATTAATGTCGCCCAGTGCTCTTGTCATTTTTGGCTGGGACAGAGAAGACAGTGTCTGGACTGGTCTGCTTCTCATCCATCATCCACGTACAACTGCCAGTAACAACCAATCAGTAAATAACACAGTCCATTTATAACGGTGCTGAGAAAATTGCTTTTAACTCAAACAAAAAAATAAAAAAATTTGTTTTGTCTGCAGTGCAGTGGACTCAACTCTACTCCAACAGAACTCCAGGATTATATGCCAACAAAAGTCTCTGGTACCGAGCAGTGCCACCGGTTGTTTAGAGTTTGTCATTTTTCCCAGCAGCCTTGAACCTCTCACAGACGGAAGCAACAAGAACCAGGTTCATCTCCACCACCTGACACTCTGGTTAAACACGGTGACATTTACCTCTCTGCATCATGGGACTGGGCTGGTTGAGAAGCGTGGCCAGTCCGTGGTAGATGGCGCCCTGTTTGGCGACCTCCAGGGTCACCACCGAGCCCGTCCTCGTCATCAACTCTGCCGCCCTGCAGGGACACGTACGAACAGTGAGTGAACACAGGAAGTCGCCTCAGTTTTTTCTAACTGCTAAAAGTCTTTATTGTTATCGAACAAAGTCTTCGCCCTCTTTCTTCTCACCTCTCTTGCGACAGGCCGACCAGACTGCGACCGTCCACACTTAGTAACTGGTCTCCTGCAGCCAACCGGCCGTCCTGTGTCAACACAAACACAACAACAAAACCGGATGAGTCACAGACCGACTGTTCTGCCTCATGTCCCTGTGGTGACTTGGTGTTTTCACACTCACCATGTCAGCGGCTCCGCCTTTGACCACAGACTTGATGTAGATGCCCAGCTTCTCCTGACCAGCACCCTGAGGAAGGAGGTTAAAAAAGCTCATTAATTTTTTTTAAATCACAAATCAACAGATCAAATGTTTGTTTTTTTTATCACTGATTAACAGATCAAATGTTTTTAAAAAAAAATCACTGATTAACAGATCAAATGTTTTTTTTTTTAACTCAGACGTCACGTAACAACAGCTTTAACCAACACACGCACACACACGCACACAAATAAAACATGTCTCAGGGTTTCTTAAATGTCCGTGGTCCAGGTGTGAGCCACAGCTGTTGAGAACGTCTTCTGTTATTTGTGACTTTCCAACTTTAATCCGGTGTGGTCTCCTCCCAGAATGCCGTGAGGTTGGGAAACAGTTCTAGCTCCAACGCTCACATTCACAGACGTTCATGTCTGAGATCCAACTCTGATCCAACGCTCACATTCACAGACGTTCATATCTGAGATCCAACTCTGAGCCACACACAAACAAAACTGTATGTGTGTGTGTATTTGAGAACACCTGGAATCTAACGGGGTCACAGAGAGGTCAAACTGAACTTAGAGCAGGGCAGCAGCGGAAGTCTGACGTGGTCACGTGCGATTTTTCTTTATGATCTCTCAGTTTCTTTGCACAGACAGAGACAGAGCTTGTGTGTGTGTGTGTGTGTTTTCCTGTGAAATGGGAGGTTATCTGTGCAGCTGTGTTATCACAGCCATCAATCATCATCTTCAGCAACTGACAAGTTCATCCTCAAAGGTTTGTGCAACTGCATGAGCAGATACCAGAGAACTCTGGAGAAATCTCCTCCTCTTCACCGTCAAACTCTGGCTCTTTTTAAACAACATCGTCTTCACAAAGTTCGCGTTTCACAAACTTTTTTTTCCTGTTCTTTTTTAATCTTTCTAAACCTTTTATAGAAGGTTTATAAAAAAAAACCACAGCCGGGGTCCAGATGTGACAAACACAACCTGGACGTCGACAGTGGCAGCAGGTCTATAAAGCTGCAGTGTCGTCTCGTAGATGTGGAACAGACCAGCGTAGCCACGTGTCGTAAAAAAGGATCAAAAATACGCGACTCACATTCAGACTAATGGCTCCTGCTGTTTACAGGTCGGGCTTTAGGAACATTTTCATCAGCTGTGCAGGAAGGAGCGAAGACAGGAGTGGTGCAGACGTTTGACAGGATCAAGTTCAACCATCGTAAACCACAGTCTAATCCTGTGTGACGGGGACATGGGTAACACCTCCGGGGCAATGTTTTAAAAAATGATGTAACTTTCTTTCAGCTCACTTTGTTACCTGTTAGTGGCATGGTATGGAGCTAATGCTGGTGTGTGGAAATATTCATGAACTGCAATATTGCAATATTTCCTTTCACGGTACCATGCTGTATATGTGGTAAATATTTACTAGTATTTTGGCCTGTTGTTTTACCATTGAGAACATGGCTCTTATGGCAGTAAAATACAAAAATGTTTGCAGTTTGTCGTCAGCTCCTGGAAACCAACCCCTCATTAGCTGTGAACAGTGGGGATCAGCGTCTTCCTGCAACAGGAAACAACTTCTCAAAGTGGGGGGGAGAGAGAGAGAATATAAATATGGGTTCAAACATGGGATTTTTTTCCCCCCTATAAACAATGACCTTTGTGTTCACGTTTTATCTCAGACAAACAAATACTTTCACAGTGTGGTGCAGGTCCCCGATAAAAACACTTCAAAAAACAGTTCAAACTGTTTCAGAAACCAGTGCAAAAGAACCGCTCACCCACTCCATCGGTTCCAAACTTAACAATTATGAAGTAAAAAGTTTTCCTCCACAGTCACTGCAGAGTTGTTGAAACCATTAGTTAGCCCTAGAGCCCCCCCCCTCCCTCTGCCCTGCTCTCATTTGAATGTAATGTGTCATAACGAGGCTGAAATTCATGCAGGCACGAATTTCCTGTCAGTGACATTAAATCCAGTGAAGAACCGTTCCATCATTCTGACTGTTTCGCGTCTGTGGCATATTACTGAAGACTTAAAGAGCCACTGTTTGAACGCTGATCCAGAGAAAGAAGCCCGGGGGGAAGGGGGCGCCAAAACAGACTCTGGGAACACTGGGGGCAATTTAGAGGGTATTTAAAGAGGCTATTTGTTAGTCTCACTTCAACAGAGTTTAAAAAAAAAAATTTAAAAAAAAACTGACAGAGGGAGTCACTGCAGTCGACTAAATGACATGTCACATATTTCTCTGGAGATGTGGGGTGTGTCCACGCTAGTAAACAGAAGTGTGGGTGGGTGTGTGTGTTGGAAACAAATCTTCATGGAGCAACAGTGTAAATCACTAAGAGTTATAAATATCCTCTGGATTCAGATACATGCCGATCCAATGAATCACACAGATTTCAACTCTATTAGGAGACAAAAAAACTCAGTTCTTCACAACTTCTCTGTGTATGTGACCAAGAACATTTAAGGAAAAAAATACACCATGACCTTGTTGTGAGTCCCTTACTGCAGGGGTCCTCGACCACCAGCGTAACGCAATCCCAGCCAGTCTCAGTCAACCAGTCCTTGGTACAAAAAAGGTTGCAGACTTTTGCCCTAGTGGACGCACTGTTCAATAACCACGTCAACGAGGAACACATAATTCTGTTTCACATTGCTTTCTTGCTAACAGCAAAAAAACTTTGCCAGGCAGCGATATCCAGATCTCGTAAACACAAAAAAAACGCATCAAATACAGTCATATTCTGACAGCATGACGGCTGTACGCATCAAATACAGTCATATTCTGACAACGTGACTGCAGCTTCTCAAGTTTGGAACCACTTTTCTAAAAGTGCGTGTTGAGAACAGATAAATGTTTGTCAACAAACAAGAGGTCATTTTGTTGGATTAAACCTAAACGTGTTCAGACTTTTCCTTCAGCGCTGGCTCACTTTTAATGATTAGTTTGGAGAAAACACCACAAAGGTTGCTTTTAAAATCTGACAAAGAAAACTGACTTTAATACAACCACACAATTATCTGCAGCTGCAAGAAGAACCGAGAGAACGTGCCGGTCGACTTCCTGCAGGTAAACAGTTTTAGTCACGGCTTTTTTTTTTACGCAAACTGAACTCTTTATGAAACCTTAACTCCACCACAGAGATACAGCGAGCGTCAAGACGATGAAGAGTTCACCTCCTGCCACTAGCTTCACAGGAAAGCTTAAGTGTGTGTGCGCGTGTGTGAGTGACATCCTCCCTTTGTCTCAACCATCACAGGGGGCAGTGTTCTCATGCTATTGTTGTACACAGGACAAATAAGGTTCAAACCAAACGTGTCCTTCAGAGAATGAACCCACAGAGTTCTTAGAACTGTTTTACACAACATTGTTTTGAACTGAATTAAAGCTCAGGTAAAACTGAATGACTTTCGAATGGGGTTTGGTCTGGGAGACATCGAAACAAACTAATAGCCACTGAGAATAAACGTGCGGCTCTCGGCTGTGGTTGGTTTGGACAAACGGGTTTTATAACAACATCTTTAACAACTCTATTTTTAAACCCTGACTTCTCACCAGACGAGTTCATGACAAAAAAGACTTTTCTCTCACCAGACGAGTTCATGACAAAAAAAGACTAAACTTCTTGTTTTGCACAACACCAATAAGAAAACAGGGAATACTCTGCAGTATTTCTGTGGGTATTTGACAGCAGAGCGTGTACAGTGATCCTGTGACTGTGAATACTTGAACCACCTGTGTGTACATTAGTTTAACCATTAGCACAGTGTCCCTGAACACAAACAGCCAAAGGTGACCAACCAGACAGACGTCGCACTCAACCAGGCTCTGGTGTCACACACGTGTGCAGAGTGACACCACTGCAGCCACAGCAGGAGTGACATCAGCAGTGGTCAGAGTCTGAGTCACTGGGTCAGTTTTCAAATGAAATTATATGGTGACGATGACAAAAAAAAAAAAAAATCTCTGTCACATTTTCAGATAAAACATGAAACATCCAGATGTTCAGTGAAGTCTGTGTGTTTACACACATGAGGTTTAAACACTAATCAAAAGCACTCTGGACCTGGAAAGTACTGAAACTATTTTTTACTAGCACTCAACAATGGATTTAAATGAGAACTACATTTCAGAAAGCCAGTGCTCCTCTACTAGAAAACATATGGATTAAAAAAATAGATAATTTCATCTCAACAAGCCTGTGTTCTTGTCCGACAGGAAGAGTTGCTGCTTCATGATCAGCAGAAGACTTTTGCACCTCCTGTTATAATACCATTGTTCAGAGTCAACGAAGCCAAACGTCCCATTGAAAAAAAAAAGGTTTAATCACAAAGAACTTCCTGATGGAATCAAAACTAAAATCAAGCCGAGGATAAAGGCTTCATTTCCCTGACCAGTGCTTCGGAATAAAGACAATCAAGAATAAACTCCAGTTCTCTGATAACCTGACACAGACTCAGCTAAAAGTTACCTCTTCTCTCCTGCCCACCACAGAGAACCACATGCTGCCGCCGCAGGTTCAACGTCCAGAGAACTTCACACCGGGACGAGCAGTCCAGAGACAAACACACACCTGCACCGCACACTGCTTTTTATCCCAGACAGGCAGACGGTGGGGCAGACAGTGGGGCAGACAGGGCTTTAACCTGCTAACATGTAGGAACACGTCCACAGACTTCCAGCTCCGCCGGCCGACCGCAGCCCCCTCAGCTCAGCATTAGTGTTCACGGCATTCACAGACGGACGGAACTTAGAGGAGGTCGTTAAAAAAAAAAAAAAAAAGTTCTACAACAAAAGGTCTATGTCTGCTTCCAAAAAAAACAAAAAAATGTGGAGAAAGTTCCAGCACGTGTGGGTGAAAAGGTTGCAGTAAATTCCTAAAATATTCCTGAGTGGATCCAAATTCCTCCACAGACTCCTAATGATCCAGGGACGTGAGGTGAAGTGACGACGGAGACACACTGAGGAGGAGGAGGAGCTGCTGCTGATCCAGGAAAATAACACACTCACACTCAGACACTCACGCCGAAAATATAACGCAGACACAAACACACAAACACACTAACTCGCAGTTACATAACACGGCAGAGCTCCAGCCAGTTTACGGAGAATTTATGCAGCTGTTTGACAAAACTCCCACTACCTGCCTTTTCACCCCAGCTTTGAAAATAAACACAGAAGTGAGGTTTCCTCCTCAGTACGTCCTTCCTTCCCACTCTTCCTCTGAACACACACACACACACCGGCACGTCATAGTTTGTGAGGTCAAACAGTTAAATACATCTGAGCAGACGCTGCCTTCAACTGATAAGGTGATGAAAAAAGGTGATTTTTCCTTTACAGATTGTGAAATTTAATTATTTTTTTTCCCTATATTATTTCACAAACTATGGGAGTGTTTTTGCCAGGACATTTCAGTATATTTTTCTAAAACATCAGACTGAACTGTACAGGTTAGAAAAGTTTAGTCCTACAGAAACAGGACACACGGGGGACCACGGCCCGCCTTTTTAGAAACACTGAGTTTGTACACAATGGACTGAAAAGGTTTTAATGACTGGAGAAACAGTGTTCATCAAAGTCAGGGACGGATTTATCTCTTTTTTTCATCCAAATGCACACATACAGCCAGACTTTTATTTTAATATTTCTTTCCTTAATTTACTTTGAAAAGAAGAAAAAAAAGGAGACTGAACACAAGTGTTAACACGTGAACACAAGTGAAGTGGATTTTTTTCTTTGAGGTTGACTTCCTCAGTCCTGTCTCTGTTGAGCTGCTTCAAATCAGTGTTCAGACATAATTGGCCCACAGTCCCTGAACACACCATATGTGTCTGGAGAAATAAACTGAAGGACAGACAGTGAAACACTGTCCCCACCCTGGTGAGCCCACCCTGCACGGTGGTCTGACCGGAGAGCAGTCTCTGTTCTCTCCACTGCAGCGTCACTGTTTAGTCTCCACGTTAGTGACAGTCTCAACAGTGAGGTCACACACACACACACACACATGCGCACGCTGCCAAAAGTTCAGCCTCAGAAATCAGGTTTCTTTTCTTCACTTCCTGTCAGAATCAGTGATTCACTGTGCTGCTTCAGCTTCCTCTCCTCAACGACTGAAGCTGGTTTCTCAGATGTAAACTTAGAGAAACACTTTTATTTCAACAAAATTACAACAACTGACAACAAAGTCTCTCACTGGACATTCAGCCACAGACACACCCTCACAGACACACGTGTACAGACCGTTACGTGCATCTCGTCCTACCTTGGCGGCCACGATGCTGAGGCCCATGCCATTGTGCTTCTTCAGGGTTACCGTGACGACCTCCGGCTCTTTCCTCATTGGCTGAAAAGACAGAGACGGAGAGGAAGAAACGAGCTGGTCAGTGAGGATGAAACCTTGCCGGTCCTTTTCTTTCATTTGCGCGCAGCGCTGCAGCGTGTGCTCACTCCGACAAGGAGAGCGTGGAGTGGAAACAACCGGGGGAGGGATGGGAGCAGGGAGGAGAGGAATAAAGGAGGGATGGAGGGGAACAGGGGCGGAGGGGGGGGGGAGGCCACAGAGGAACTTAGTGGTCACTGGAGCAGAGTCAGGAATGAAAAACCACATCATGGCTACACACACACACACACACATTTACAAACACACAGAGCACATGAACAGGGCAGGGCAGCTTGGTGGAGAGAGAGAGAGAGAAAGAGAGAGAGGGGGGAGGGAGGAGGACATTTCCAGCAATGGCTACCTGCCAAAATAAATGAGCTCATGTCAGGATTTGACAGCAGTTTGCCGTGTGTTTGTTTTGGTTGTGTACGGAGGGACGACACCACATGAGTAACAACAACAAACACAACAACAGCAACTTTACAGTCTGTGTTCAGTTTCCTTTCAAAGACCATATAACCAATAAAATCCATCACGTTTCGTCACTGAGGTCAAATACAATCCATCACTACATCCACACGTCTCCTCCTGCTTCCTGGTAGCTCCATCCCCAACATCTCTCTCTCATTGTCTTCTCTGCTCACTCAGGTGTACAGTATGTACTGTATACTTCTAAGCTCTGAGACTCTGAGATATTTAAAGTTTATGGTGAAACAGTCAGAAATACTTTAATCTGTGGTGAAATAAAGAACGACGACTGTGAGACGCTGGAACACAGAGAAGTGGACTCTGTCTTCTACAGGTCTTTCATCGTGGAGCAGCTCCAGTTTCTGTCTGCGGCCGCTCCACTCGTTACTGTTGTACGAGTGGAAAGAAAAAAGATTTACGTTCGGACTCCAGATGTTTTTTTCCACTGCCTGTTTGTTCAGCTGTTTGGTTTAAAAAACGTAGAAGATCAGACACCTTTTATGGAGAGGCCACATCACAGAGTCAAAGACGACCAACTTAGGATGGCTTCAAATGCTACTCACTCCCTGGTACTTCACAGGAGTCGAGGATTAACGTCAAGTACTACGAGAGGATGCTAAGATGTTTCTACTCTTTTCTTTCTCTGTCAAGCCATAATTTCCAAACAATTTATAGTTGATGGACGGACAGACTGATGAATTAGTTGTTCAGAGTTTTTTCAGTATTTCCAAACAATTTATAGTTGATGGACAGACATATGGATGAGTTAGTTGTTCAGAGTTTATGTAAAGACTTCACCTCCCAAACTGTCTGTCAACAAACAACCTAACGCTGAGGAAGAACAGAACTCTGTGAGAAACAAACCCCAGTTCACACACTGAAAACTGACCCCCGTCTGCTGCAGTACACATTAATCAAAGCATGTATGTATGTGTATGTGTGTGTGTGGCGCCTGCATGGTGTCGAGACTACAGTCGTGAAATAGTACGGGGATAAACAGACCAATTACACAGGAAGGTACTGTGTTTGTGTGTGTTTGTTATCGTGTGTGTGTGTGTGTGCATCTTTGGGGGTTGTTATGAAAAGTAAATTGCCCCAGCTACAATCACCCTAATCACTGCCTTCCAACAAATAGACAAGACCACACACACACACACATTCATTTTAACAATCATGTGTGTCGTACCATCTCAGAGTTTTCCACTGAGGAGAAGTGGCTGTCGCAGTCGGCTCCTTCAAAGTGCACAGTCCAGGTACCAGGAGAGCGGGGGTGAGGCAGCAACCGACAGAAACCTGGTTGACAAACACACACACACACACACGGACAAATTCAGTCGTTCTAGGGCGCCATCTTCAGGAGCAGGCAACGCCGTAACCCACAGAGTTCACTGTTTTATTCCTTACCTCTCTGTAGCAGTGGATCCAGGAAGTCCTGCAGGCCGTTGGGGAGGCTGCGCACCACGTCACAGGAGTAGCCGTCCTCCGGCAGGAGGAAGGGCAGCTGGAGGTCAGGGTCCTCCTCCAGCTGGACCTCCCGCCCGTCACTCCTCGCCAGCTCGTCGGCTGTGTTTTCAGCTACTGCCACCACGTGGTCAATCAGCTCCTGCGCACATCAGGAAGTCGTTACATCTGCACTCTACCTTTACTGTCTTTTGAGATTTTTGTACTTGGAGACTCACAGGAGGAATGTACGGCTCATCAGGAGCACAGTGGTAGTTGGTCATGAGTGCATGCAGCTGCAGGGAGTTGAGCTTGAAGCAGGTGTTGTGGACGTTCTGCACGTCCTGCATGGAGTACTTGTCCATGGTGAGCAGAGTGGTGGCCTGGAAGACGCAGACATTCGACATTGCTGAATCAGACAAGTGATTGGTCACTTCATATTTAACATACAAGAACATTATAGAGTGTTTTACTCATGTGAAATCCCTGTATATTACAATATGCATCTATGCTGCCACCTGCTGGTTTATTCAAAGACCGTCGTCCTTCTCCTGCAGTTACCTGAACAATTCGACTGAGGTGACAGTCGGCGGCCAGCTCCAGCCCCTGCTTCTCCGCCCAGGCCTCGATGTGGCTCAGCTGCTGCCGCAGGATGGCGCCCCAGTAGTGGCAGCACAGGCCCGAGTCTTTGTCCGTCACCAGCTTGTTGAAGAGCCACATGTTGATGAAGTGAAAAAGCTGCGAAAAGAGCTGGATGGTCAGGGCGGCGTTGACCCGACATCGTCGCAGCAGAGACATGGCCCCCGTCAGAGTGTGCAGGACGTCCTCTATAGAAGACAGAAAGTCAGGTCCATGAGTGGTTCAAACAGAAACTAGGCTTCAGGTTGTAGAATAAGCTTTTTTTTTTTAAAGTTCTGACCTATCTTAGGTCTCTGTGGACTGTGTTCCTCAGGGTCGTCCAGGAAGGCTGGCATATAGTTGTTTAAATCAGCCTGGAGACAGTGGACCAGGTACCTGCAAAATAAGTGGACAACTTTTTTTTATAGGATCCAGGAACTTTCATTAATTAAAAAAATAGGCAAAATTTATATTTTTTCTGGTTCTAATCATGTAAATACCAGGTACCTGCAAAATAAGTGGACAATTTTGAGAGGAACTTTTATGAATAAAAAAATAGGCAAAATTTATATATTTCTGGTTCTAATGATGCAAATTGAAGGTTAACAATATAAAATAAGTCCTAAAATCAGTTACAGGAAGTATTAAAAGTACCAGTAGAATCAGGTTTTTGCTGTATTTTGTAAAAACCAGTGATCTATAAAGTGATCACTCCCCCCCACACCAGCACCCAGACTGACTTGAAGGCCATCTGGACCAGATGTGCCAGGATGTCCTGTGCGTCCAGTGAGATCCGGCTCAGGTCTCGGTCCTGTTTGATGAAGTTCAGGAGCTCGGAGGCGTTGGCCATCCAGAAAGCCAGCGCTCCTGCGATGTTCTTCTGCTTCTGTTCACGCATCAATCACACACACACACACATACACAGAGAGAAGAAGGTGTTACTTCAGTTGAAGGAAGTCTAGTCTGGGGGGTGGGGGAGGTTAGAGAAGAGGCAGGAGACAGAAGGAGTTTCTGTTTGAGCAGCAGCCACAAGTGGTTACATCAGGGATAGACTCATGCCCCGCCCATTCCTCCCCCTGAAGTGCCTCGAAGGTGAAGTGGTCATCACTGTCCTTCATCTGAATGTCTCCCGTTTTCTAAGACATTCTGACCTGTCCATCAGAGGACAGCGAGGACATCACTTCACCTCCGGACAGCATTCACCAGGTCTCCAGACACCAACCTCTGTCAGACACCAATCAAAGATATAAAAAATAACTTCACCAGTTTAAATCATGTCTACATGGACTGGACACATGTATTTAGACCAGAAGAACTTTAAATAAAATAAAAGATTTTTACTCTTCTACTCTAATTACTGCTCTGTGGTCCATAACGTTTTAAATTAGTGGTTCCAAAAGTGGGGGCGCAGAGCTATTGTAGGGGAGGGTAAAATATTTCTTTCTGTGTGCAAGGGGGAAATTGTACTGCAGTTTTATAGCAGTTTTGCAGTCACAGTGGTCCCTGAAGTGGACAGTGAAGTTTGCTATCAGAATTATTAACTTTTGGTCCTTTCAATGTGTCTCTATTGTAAGTCTACATTTGAAAGTATCCCAGTTTTCTTCTCTTGGGTTTATAGGCAGCGACAGAGGTCAACATCTGAGGAGCTGATTGGTTAATATGCCCACCACTGACAGAGGGAGGAATGTGCAAAGGTCGCTCCTCCACTCATCTATCCCTGCCTTGGAAGACAAGTAACAAAAACCACAAAAAAAAAATCATCTTTAAAGAACAGCCAGAGAATGAGTAGACAAGTAACAAAAACCACAAAAAAAATAAAATCATCTTTGAAGAACAGCCAGAGAATGAGAGGTGGAGCTCAGTGCATCCAAAACAATCCAATGTTAAAGGATTAAAACCACAGATGATGACATCATTTTAAAGTCCCAAACAGACAAATGAAGCAGAGACGGTGGTCGAGCTCAGACAGACGCTTGTCTCTCATCCACACTGTGGAGGAAAAGAAGCCAAGACGTGGTGTCAGGTGGAATGGATGAGATCAAAGATGGGACAGTCAGGAGGAGGAGGAGGGGGTTTCTTAAGTCTGGCTCTTTTTGCTCGTTTCGCTGCTTTGTCTGTGTTCTGTTTAGTACCAGGCAGGTCCAGGAAACTGAATGGAATTAGTGGAGATGATGTTGCTGTTGTTGCTTAGTGTTCCAGCTGTGGGCAGGTCACATGACCATTGATTCATTAAAACAAAAAACAAAAAAAAAAACCAAACATTTTTGTTAGAATGGAGGAAAAGAAGCAGCAGCAACACTTAAGGGCTGGTTTTAAAAGAAGCACAAAGATAGAGAGAGGGAGAGAAACAGTGGTGAGAGAGTGAGAGTTTTAAAGGTTGGGCGACGATGTTTCAGTAAAATAATCTAAATCTATCAGATTATACACTACAGTAGAATGAACCCTCCATCTGCCACTCTGACTCTATCGCTGTATGACCACCTCATATATTTAAATGGCACCAACTTCATGTATCTTTCTGCCACTTCATCTTCATCTTCTCTCATACCTTCCATAAGCTTACACTCACCCAGCAACGCTGCTGCATTAACAAGGTACGGAGTAAAAAATGTAAACATTTCTCTGTGAAATTCCTCTTTTTATTACAACTGTACACACATCGCCCAAACCAAGAGAGGGAAGAAAATGAGAGAGAGGAAGAACAAGTGAGCGGGTGAATAAGTGAGGGAGGCAGCCGAGTCTGTAGCAGCCGTACCATGTGGTGCTAATGTGCTAGCCTACCTGATCCTCATCACGAATCTCCTGGATGGAAGGAAGAGGAAGATAAGGAGGAGGAGGAGGAGGAGGACATGTTCACAGGACAGAGAGAAAACACGTCAACAGCTACAGTATGGACACGGCCATGTATCACACACACACACACACACACACAAATACACAGACACGTCATGGTTCACAATGTAAAGCTATGGTGAACTGGTTGGAGAACATAACAGACGAAGGTCAACATGAAAATCCTAAGCTGCGGATCAAGGCCTGGGAAGTTCTTCATGGTATTAGTGAGTTAACTGATATTTTTATTACTGAATATTTGAGCTGTCACTTGTTATCTTTTTTTTTTTAATTTAGCAGAAATAATGAATTTTTCATTTAAGGAACTTTTCTTTGGTCGACGTAATCTGCCTAGAAACATTTGACCAAATAGTAAGTCTTTATAATATGGTTGTCGGGGGAAACACCTGAAATCTAGGGGTGAGGGAGAGAGAGTTAAAGTCAGAATTGACACCTTGATGGTCGGACGGTGTGAAAGGAATTTCAAACAAAAGTTGGCAAAAAATGAATGGGAACGTGAGGATAAGGAAAGATCTGAGAAACAGCTGAGGTTAAAGGGTTTGTTTCAGTCATTTCCTGGTTGAAAAGTGACAGTCCTTTGTTTTTATATGCAGAAGTTCTGGGAGCGCAGTACAACAGGTGTGTGTGTTCGGTCTGACACAAATAATAAACAACCTTCTAATATTTGGATAATTTATGGAAAGCAATACAAAACAGGCTGATGTTAGGATTAGCCAGGAAAACTGTGGAAATATGTGGAGCAAAACAAGGGGGAAACCATGCGTGGTTCAAACTAAAGCTTGCGGCCTGTGAAGAATAAACAAACGAGGCGTGGTACGGTGACGGTAAGAAGCAGCCAAATGAACATTTAAGTTCACAGTGCAGTTATATGGCAAAGACGGTAAGAAGCAGCCAAATGAACATTTTAGTTCACAGTGCAGTTATATGGCAAAAAAAAAAGAAAAAAGAAATGTCTAAACGAGGAGAGACATTGAAAATTGGCAAAAATAGAGCAAAATTTGTAACCGAAAAATGACCTACATATGAACCAGCTGGCAGGTGAAATGTGCAGCTTGAGATTTAATTTACAGCATTAAAAAAAATAAAGCCACTGCATGAATAAACCACTTTCCATTGTCAACTTAAAGGAGCTGAATCAGCAGCCCTGCGGCAGTGCTTTTTATATCTGAGCCCCATTTGGCCACTTTTCTTACTCAAGGTTGTAAAATTTGACAATAAACTGTGGCTTAATTTTCAAGAAATACGGATCATAATTAAGTGACTTTTGTTTTGGTAATATAATAAATAATTATGCACATTATGGCATTTTACTATTTTTCTAAAAAACAGTTTAAAATGTCATGACAAGTGCTGCGCAACATGAAGCACTTCCTAACAAGGCACCACTGGGCTACGGTCCTCATGGGGTCCCAGGAAACTGACTGATGTGTTTCAGTAAACCAGACGCAGCAATGATGTCACAGCGTGAGCAGGTAGCCATACAACAAGGCAACAGCAGCAACTACCACGGAGGGAGGGTGTGTGTGTGTGGGAGGGGACAGGGGGGCAACTGTGGAGAGAAAGCTGCAAAAGAAAAACATTCATGCACATATGGGCTTACAACAAGTGCAGTTGTTGTAAGAAGTCTGTTAATGGGGGGGGCAAAAGTTCAAGTTATAGCCAGAGTTCAACACAAGCACAAACTAGGTTGGGGGTGAGAGGGGTGAGGGGGTGAGAGGCTTCACTAATGAGGTAATTGTGTCTAAGTGATGACTCGGCGAGCGGCAGTACTGACCTGGATGACTCCCTCCATCATGCTCACCATCTTGTTGACGATGGCGATGACTTTGTGCGTCCGCTCTGAAGGAGACATGTCCGGCCGGTAGGACGGAGACAGGACAAAGCGACAGGCCATGTACAGGACATAGGTGGGGGAGAGTTTGAAGTGGACCGTGGAGCTGTTGGTGTAGTTGATGATGGCTGACAGGAAGGTGTCTTCAGCTGGAGGACACAGTTGGCAAAAAAGGGACAATTTGTACCAAATGGACAATCCCATTTTCACAGTGCAAAGACAAAGACAGAACATTTCTACCAAATGGACAATCCCATTTTCACAGCGCAAAGACAGAACATTTCATGATGCCTGTGTTGATATTCTACAGAACTGAACTTAATTTACAAAGTAATTAAAAAAATAATTTCTGCAGATTTCTTACAGTTGTCTCTGAATTCGATGCTGGCAGGGAGAGTCAGCTCCGTCCTGTCCCCTGACATGTCCTGAGACCTGAAGAGAGAAAACCAAACCGTCAGATGACATGAGAAGAGGAGGAAGAAGGAGGACATGAAAAAAGAGGAGATGATGTAGAGCGGTCCGTCCCACCTGCTGTCCTGCTGCTCTCCTCGGATCATGGGTTTGACCATTCCTCTCTCCATTTCCAGCTTTCCTGAGCTCTGTGAGAACAGAACACACTTTTTTTTTAAATTTTCCATTTGAATCCTCTTTTAGAGTGCACGGCTGTGAACAGGCTAATGACTACTGTCGGATGAGGCAGAGTCGGGCTTTAATGTGCATGTGTACGACTGATCACTTTGTTATAAACACACGGTGAAATCCACGTGGGCGGATCAAAGCTGCCTCTGTGTCACTGCACTCTTACTAACTTGGATTTTCAGAAGCATTTACAGCAAACACTAACTGATGTCAAGTAAAAAAAAACTACTTTTTTTATGATATCATAAACAAAATGATTTATCCATTTTATCGTTGCTTAAAAAAAAAAAAAAACTAAAAAAAATTGTTTTTTTAAAAAAATGATTTAATAAACAATGATTTATCCATTTTATCGTTGCCTTTCCTTTAATATCTTGGAACACTCAGGATCAGATTTATGGACGGACTTAATTGTTTGTTTGGGACGTAATATGGGTGGATATGTGAGCTAATAGCAGTGATTTCAAAAGTGGGGGGCTGGTTCCCTTTCAGGGGGCACAGAGCCATGTTTCTTTTTTTTTCCCCTGTCATTTTTCTTTTCCACTCTACTCCTCTGATAAAAACTTTCAACACAAAATGTATCGGCTGGTTTCTATTTTTCTGCATCTTCTTTAGTCCCAAATCACTGCTAAATCATTAGCCACAGCTGACTTTCATACCTAAATCCTACAATAAACAAAATAAAGCTACAACTACTGCGTTACCTTGCTGGTTGGCAGCGCAGCGCCACTGTGGACGTCCCCTTGAAGGTCAAAGGTGGTTTCTGGTACACTTCTGTGAGGGAAACAGAGCAACATTCTTTTTTTAGTGTTGACAGACGACGACGACGACGACTTGTCTACAGACAGACTAACTGGTAGTTAACCGACGCTCAACAGCACGACAGTTGTCTGGTGCGTAAACACATGCAAACAGAACCATATCTATATGAGAACATATCGTATCATTGCCTCTGTACTTTGACACTGACACTGAATAGAACAATGTAGCAAGTCCTAAAGATTTAAAAAATAAATAAATAAAAAACAAAAACAAAACTCACTGAAATGAAAATACATTGATGTTTTCTTTATGTTCTGTGAGTAAGTGACATTATGTGGTGCATCGTGGCTTTGACGTGTCACTGCAGCACACTCGCATCTCAGATCAAAGGAGAGAGAATTCAGTTGGAATTCATAACAAAGTACTAACTCCCTTTAATCCAGCTGTCAGTTAAAAGACACTTGAGCTGATGGTAAACATTAGCAGCAACTACACCAGACTACAGTGCAGAGGATTCACGACGATGAGAGATTGTCCCGAGTCACCGACCACCACCAACAAACAATAAAGAACCAGGAAGAAGGATCCCCCAGAAGAAGGTCAACTACATGACATGGCAACACGGTTTGAACTGGAGGCCTCGAAGATGAATGTCCATCAAAATGGTCCGAAGCTGCCAATGGCAACCTTCGACATCAAGAATCCGGAGATCAAGAGTAAGTCTGAGCCCAACGACTTCTCATCCTCCTCCTTCTCCTTCTCCTCCTTGTCCAAGAAGGAAAAGAAAAGCAAAGGTAAAAGGAAGAAAAATAGGTTGACCACTGCAGACATCGGACCTCCGACCAACTTCAGGCACTTGGGGCATGTCGACCACAGTCCAAACGCAGCATTTAACCTGAAGAACCTGGATGTGGAGCTTCAGAATCAGTTCGACATGTGTGGGATCTCTCAGCCCAAGCTGAAGGACGTGGACATTTCTGATAACGGGGCGTTAGACGGTACTCAGAAAAAAGCTCCTCCAAGAAAACAATGCGCACCGCTGCCCCCTCCCCACCGGGCAGCTCCACCAATGATGCCATCCCTAACTTCTCCCACATATGCCTCAATTCACGTGGCACCTACAGGTCCATTTCCTCCTCCTCCTCCACCTCCTCCTCCTCCACCACCACCACCTCCTCCTCCTTTGTTACCTACTTCAGTGCTGTCACTGGCTAGTAGCAAAGGGAACAGCAGTTTGCCATCACCAGGGGGCAGGTTGTCAATGTTTGTTCAGATCAAAGAAGGCATCCAGCTGAAGCAGGTGGAGCAAAAAGACAGAAGTGATGAACGTCCTGCTCCTTCACCCTCCACACACAGTGTTGGAGAAGAAAGCCGTGTACGGTCGTGGCAGCAGTCCGTACAGTTATGTCACATTACAGAGGCCAGGCGATTAAAAAGGGTGGAGAAGAAAAACGGAACTAAAGAACCATCAACTTCTCCGTCACCTCCAACTCCTGCTCCATCACTGTCCTCACTTACCAGTGGAGGAGACAACGGTCTTGTGCTATCTGGGAACCGGTCAGCACTGCTGAGTCAGATCAAAGACGGGTTTCAACTGAAGAAGGTGGAGCCGAGTGACCGCACCAGCAGCCCTCAAACTCCTTCACCTTCCAGCCTGGCTCTCAGTAACACCGGGAATTGTGGTCTTCACTGCTCTGATGGAGAGTCACTTCTGGACCAGATCAGAGGAGTCCAACTCAAACGAACTGAAGACCATAGAGAATTGACTCCTTCCTCCTCCTGCCCCTCCTCCTCCTCTTCCTTGCATTCAGAAGATTTTAGAGCATTTTTGAAGGACGGGATCAAGAGAAGAATCAAGACCCCGTACTAGACGTTGTTGAGGTTGTTTGACTAACTCTTGTGTCCCTGGAATTGCAAATCCAACTGACGCCAGTGAGAGGCGTTATTGCACGATACTGTTAGATTTTGACACGAGAAGCAGAAACATTTAACGCCGGTGCCTAAATTAAGGCATCTCGTTAAAAACACCTATCAAAACAAAGTTTTTTTTTTTAACACCCTCCAACTGTCTTGGTCTAAATCGATGACATGTTCCAGCCTTACAGCAACAACATCACTGGTTTGAGGCCAGGATTATGTGCAGGTGATGGATCCAAATCATAACATAACAGC